CTGTTTCCAGCCCTGAGTGGGGACATGGCCCAATATCTCACCTGAAATGAGTTGAGAACACCCCTTCCACTGGGGCAGTAGTTTTGATAGATTGCAAGAGATTTAACCTCACAGCTATACCTGTGACGTATAGAAAAGCTGCTTTTTGCTGTTTTGAAATTGTATTGGATATCATTTTTTTCTCTCCCTCAGCAGTCTGAACAATTGGGCTCCTGGTACTAAGCAAGCACGGCTTTTATAGGAAGAGGAATACAACAAATAACTCCCATAAAGGTGTTTGCAGTTTTCACTATAATTTCAAAAATACCATTTCCCACATTGACACAGAGGAAGCTCACAGTGAGGGGGGGAGGTTTTACAGGTGCCAAGTCATGCAGTGACCCCCCCAAAACACAGTTGTGTGACTGCAAGAGCGGTGAGTGCTGTACGGGGCTTGCGCTAGTAGGAACCTGATAGCCAACCCCTCCAACTTTTCTGTTCTGGGAGAGATTACGAGTTTTGAGCAAAATCCTGGGGGTAATCCTGCAGGATTCAGCCATCAACAGCTGTGCTCACCACAGACTCCTCTGCAGGCCTTTTCTGTAAGCAGCTGTTATCCACACGCTGCTCCATGCTGGGGCTGATCCGTGCTACTCATAAGACATAAATTGCAGTTGCCTCCGTGTCCCTTATCATCACTTCATATTTGGAGTGATGCAGAAAATAAGGACACCCCAAGGGGTATGTGTCTCACGGCAGCATCCTCAAGAAAGGTAGTTTTCTGGGGAGCTGGTGAATGAGCCACGTAATTGCAGCTGCTCTAAAGGAGGTCTCGGCTCCAGTTTGAGGCTGCGGGAAAGGTTTCTTACCTTAGCTTTTCCCTTAAAGATGGGAAAACTGTGGCACAAAAGAGCTGTAAGAGAAGGGGGGTTAGATCTCTGTCACCTCGGAAAGGAGATTAGCAAAGGGAGCTGTCAAGTGAGCATGAGATATCCTCTGCACATGCTGTCATGCTAGATGCCAGAGGGACATTCCTGGCTCCTTGGTGACTGCTGCTAGCAAGACCTCAGCCTGGTCATGGATTTTCTGAGTTTCAGTTTGTAATTGCAAAACCCACCAATTATTTTTTTTTTCTCTCTCTCATTATTTCCTTCTCCTTTCCTCCTGCTTCTCTCTTCTCTTCCTGCTCTCCCGTCATGCCTGCTTCTGCTGCTGGAGTCCACAAGGGGATTCGCAATGCCGAAGAACCTCCTGCTCGTGCCGAGATTTTACTTGCGCTTGCCTACTGCCTACCTGAGATACACCCCTTCTGAAAGTATCTGAAACACAAAAAGAAAAACTGGTTTAGTCTGCACTTGAAAGCAAATTCATAGCCTGTTTTAATCTGTATTAAAAGCACACTAGCTACCCTTGAATAAAACCAAGTGCTGACAAACTCATTTTCTAGAATAAGGGTATCCACATTTTGGCATGAATAAGAGGACTATTACGGATGAGCTCCATGTGCAGACAAGTTAGTACAGCTAGCGAGGGCTGAATAGGAGCCGAGGCATGACTGAGCCTCATAATTAGACCTAGATTAGGCTTTTGCCGGAGGGGAAGGCAAGGCAAGACAAGACAAGCTCTGAACTCCTATCGTCGCCTGTAGTGTTTGAACACAGACATTCCTCGCTGTCCCAGGGAATACAGCCACGCCAAGCCAGGCTGGAACGAAGCCCCGTTATCTCTACAGGCTGATGGGGCAGGTGCGGGCTTGTGCTGGGCTGCGCTCTCTTGTGTGACCAGCTCAGGTTTTCTCCACAGCCACTCCTCCAGGAGGGTTTGGGGGGGCCCTCCACAGCCACTCCGCCAGGAGGGTTTGGGGGGGCCGCCAGAGCTACGCAGTAATGGGGAGACCTGGAGCAGTGGAGGTCCCCTATTTCATGGTGGTATGGGCACCTGAGGCCCTTGAACCACCTCTGGAGAAGTTGCTCCATCCTCCCCTTGAGCTTGAGCCCCAGACATTGTGACCTTGGCCCAGTGTAGGTCTCCTAGAGCTACCCCAGAAGTAATAGCAGGTGAACCCCAGCCTCCCTGTGTCTGAGGTGCCATCAGAGACCTGGGGTCATCACGCAGTGATGTGACCAGGGACCGCAGCCTGCTGGGGGCACACCGCTGCTCTTAAACACCGGTGGTGCCTCTGTGTTTGATTGACAAGAGATCCAGTAGGTCCTTGCTGCCTGTGCACTTCTGTGGCTGGGGGCATGCCAGCGCCGCCTGCTTTAGGCGCTGCTTGCTTGAGCTTTGGCGGTGGTGCAGCCATAGCAGATAGGCAGGTTTCAATCTCCAGGCATGCCTGGGAACCGGGCTGTACCGGTGGCAGTGCTAGCCCACTGCTGTGGCTCTGACTGCACAGCACACACCGTTTCTCTGCTACTGTCATTTGCCACTATAGTTTTGGGGCTTGTGTGCAGTTAAGAGGGAAAAGACTGTGCACCACACGAGCCTTGTGTGCTTGCCTGCGCCTGTGTCCAGCTCAGCACAGCCTCTGGGGGCTGAGGGTCATCACGTGTTGGTTGCCTGTGCCCTCAGTCCAGGTGCTGAGTGCCCAGCGTTCCCACCTGGGCTCCGCAATGGCTTGGGCTTGCAGGGGGTGCATGGTGTGGGAGCAGCCCTGTTCGTGTCTTTGGAGTCCAGTTTCTAGTGTGCAGGGGCAGCTGTGCTGCTGGGTGTTCATAATCAGCGTGTCTCTGTTGTACCCAGTGGTGAAGTCAAGGTTAGGTCATATAATTTCTGTTGGTCATCATAAACTGCTAATTTTGATTAAACAGTCATCTCCAGTGCAGCAGGCTGGTCGTGTACCTGTAGATTAGACACTGTGAAGGATTTTCTGATCTCTCTCGTGTCTGTGGGCAAAGAATCATTGCAGATGGGAAAATATTTCTTGCAGAAATACTGGTTCCAGGTTTGCTTTTAGCTGTGTGCTAAGCCTCCACACAGACTTTGGACGAAGTTAACTGGGTGATACTTAGCTCAGTGCATTCTTTGTAAAATCTTGAACAAACCAGAAAAGATTGTCAATAGTAATCGTGGTGATTAGATTAGATCACTTCAGGGTTTCAGCCTCCCCAGAGTAAACATCTGCTTTCAATACCATAAATAGCAAAGTGCTGCACTTTAGGCAAACTTGGCGTCAATCCAAGGGAATGTCATTGTTTACTGCTTTTCCTATGTATCTTCCTTTGCTTTTCAATCTATACCATGCTGTACTTCTGTGTGTACCCTTCTTTTGTTTTTTTTTCAGCCATGTAGGAGTATGCATTGTGGTTGCTCAGTATTGAGTGCTTCTGTTGCTTGTTATTGAATGCTAGCTCTGGTGTCATTCCAGTTAAGCTCTATGTACCTTTTTGTCTTTGAAAATCAATGGAGAACAAATTAAAAAAGAACTAGTTTTCGAGGTACTTTTCATTGAAGAAAAAAAAAAAATCCATTTGTGTCTGCTCATGATGAGAAAGGTTTCTAGGGAGGCCGGTCTGGGAGACAATATATGGCTTGTGCTTTTAATAAACATCAAACACCATTTTTTCCTTTAGAAAACCTTGGGTGCTTCATAGCCACTCACATCTAAACAGAAAAACAACATTCTGGGGTATTGTTTTGTTTACAGCAGATGTTGCCTTGTGCTAAAGAGTCTTGATTTGCAAAATTCCCCTGAGATCTTAGGGAGAAATATGTAAGATTAGCTATCACAGGCCGTGTGTGCTGCAGGTGTGGTGATACGTGTAGAAGGAACCACATGAGGTGGCCTGTTGCTAGTACCTTTCTGTTGGGAGTGAGGGGTATGGTTCAAGATATGCGATGATAGCTGGAAAAATCAAATTACAATAAGTTCAGACTCCTCGGGGACTTGGGAAGATGCTGAGGTCCTGTTTGTTTAAACCCTACAGTGAGCTGGGAGCCTTGCAGAATTGGATTTGCCAAAGAAGGTTTGCTTAAGTTCCCTTAAAACAGGGGGGAAAAAAGAAACATACTGAAAATAATTGAGTTTCTGGTACTTTAAAAGCTTCTTAATGTTCTTCAAGTTCTTTTTTTCTGCGAAAGGATGTCCTTTTGATTGCAGTTCAGGCTTAGCAGAGTACAGTACATCTTGCCACAGAATGAGTAAATGAGCTCTGTTCTGCAGCTGCTATTGAATGACGATGTTGGAGCATGCCTTGGCTTATCAGTGAAGGCTGCCTAATGTATTCCACCCAGCCTACCTGAGCGTGCTCTGCAGCAGCAAACCCAATTAACTATTTTCATACCCACTGAACGAATGGTTTTAGTAGTTACGGGGGTGCTTTGTTTTATAGTATTTCAGTAAGACATGCCAGAGCATGCACTGGCCATTTCTTACACACCTCTGTTGCTCTCTTCAGCCCAGAAAATGCACCAGGAGCTTGCCACAGCACAGTCTGGTGAGGTGGCTCATGAGCAGAGTGTGGCTCATTAGCTTTACATTCATTAGTTTCTAAAAGCCTTCTGAATCAGATTTGGGGTCATGAGGAAGAGATTTACAGTCTATCCTACCAGTGTGACAGAATGTTCCTAGTCAAAAAAAGAGAAAATGGGCCTCTCTGGACCATTCTAAGGGGTTTTATTGTTTAGCTGTTGTTTTTCAAGATGCCTCAAACTATATGGCTTTGTGTTTTGTCTGTTATCTTCAACTCAGTCCTCCCACAAAAAGGCAAATACCTGCTTTTACTGAATTATTAACAACAATAGATGGAGCTTACGTATCAATGAAAATTATGGACGTTTCCCAAGGCAATTGATTTAAACGGAGTTAAATTTAGTGGAAGCTTCTATTGGTGTAATGAATGCTCATTACAGAGCTTAATGTGCTTTTTAAGGGCTTGAAAACCTTCTCAGTAGGGAAGTCAGACTGCTGTTTTCCAGCAGAGGCACAGATGCTGTACCATGGCACTGCTGTCACTACACCCATATCCCATCGCTACGCCCAAACATTTCTCTTTAACCTTGTGTGTTTTTCCTTCTTGCAGAAGACCACCTGCCAGCTGGCTTCCCGACCATTGACATGGGCCCGCAGCTGAAGGTGGTGGAAAAGGCCCGCACAGCCACAATGCTCTGTGCTGCCAGCGGTAACCCTGATCCCGAAATCTCCTGGTTCAAGGACTTCCTGCCTGTCGACACTGCAACTAGCAATGGGCGAATCAAGCAGCTCCGCTCGGGTAAGGTAGCAAATCAAGTAAGGCTTCCTTGCCTCCTCACTCTTCCTCCCTATTCTCTTACGTGCTGCTATTATTTTTTCCCATGATGCTGAAATGCAATTCTAAACCCAAATGTCAATTTGATTTGAGCTTGTTTCTTTTACAATATAAAACCAGTTTTTGGAGCTGATCCTCTCTGGCAGGATATTGTGGCTTGTTAAAAGGAGACATTAGCGTGGACATGCCTTTTGGAACACCACCTGGATTCCTTCTTCGATAGACCGTCTTGACATTGCCCCAAATCCTTGGTAGGCTCTGACATTTCACTACCAACTCAACAGGTCTCAGATACTTTTAATGGGAGCACAGGGCAAATCAGGACAATGGGATATTGGTTGACATATTACAATCAGTGGTCAAATACTACTTTGCTCCTTACAGAGACTCTGCAAGACAATATTCTGCTTTCTGTGGAGATCTTTATCGTTCTTGCCGTGTGATACCACAAGAATAAAGAAAAAAAAAATCCAAGAAGCAGCAATTCTGTGGATTTCAAAGGTGGACATGGTTTTGAAATATACCTTTTCTTCTTGAGTTTTTTGTTTTGATGAGCCAAACACTAGCTTTTTAAATACAGGTGGTTGGTTCTTGTGGGTGGCTAAGAATGCACTAATTTCAGCAAGGAACTCTTGTTTTTCTGCTGCACTGTTCAGTCTCCCAGGACTGTAAGGCCCATTAGAGAATTTAGGAAAATAAAACATTGCTTTATTCCCTGATGAAGTGCAGCTCCCCAGCATGAATTGCAGTGACTATTCAACAGTGCACAGCAGCACTACACAGCAGCTTTAGTCTGGGGAAAAAAAGCCCACAGTACCCTACAGGAAGTACAGAAGGGAACAGAGCAGGAACAACTTTGGTCTAGAAAGGTCTCATGCTTAAATAAGAGGCAAACTGTCTTGCCTGGCCATGATGTATCTCTGGGCACTCAAAAGCTATTTGTTATGAGTGCTGCTGCCAGGGCAACACCGTCTTCCTCCTAGCAAGGATCAATGTCTTGACACATTTCCCCATAGCAGGAGCCCTCTGCATAAATCTGATGACGCTTGGATGATAAGAAGTAGGCTTGTACTTGGGGGAGTGGGTAATGAGACATCGCTCTCATCAAAAATAGAACCTAGCCTGACACTCCTCATCCCACCTTGATGTACCAGTGAGTGCTAATTATACTAATGCATTTATAGCTTATGAAATTTCCCAGTGACCTTTAGCTTATCTCCCCCACAACATGGTTTAATCTTGATCTGTTTGTGCTGAAAGAAAATATCACACTTGTTAATTATTCTGAGAAGCTTTAGGAAGCAGCAATAGGGAAGTGTGCATGGATATGTTTCACTTCATTGCTGACTAAATCAGCATCAGAAATTACCATAAATGAGCAGCAAGGCAGCTCCTGATGCACTTGCTGTACATTCTCCAGCCTCCTTTTCACAGGCACTTGGCTGCCTCTCTACCAGCTGCTTCACAAGTTTAGTAAGATAGAAAGTTTAAAAACAAACTAGTAAACCCTGTCACTGTGTCCAAGTTTTGCTTCCTATTCGCTGTTCTTAAGCAACATCTCAATTGAATATTTCACTTGGGATTCCAGCTCTAGAGCTGGCTGCTTGCTGAAGACACAGTAATTACCAAGGGAGGTGTCAAGGGAACCTTTTAGAAATCAATGAGCAGCACACATCCTTAGGCTTACGAAAGAAATTGATTAGCTCTTTAATGTAGTAAGGGAGGTTTCCACAGCTCAATTCAAGAGACTTCCAAATATGAGTGAAGTTTTATTTTGAGGGACCTCATGATACGATTCCAAGGCTCACCAAAACTCTGCTCCACCCTGGCATGAGTGGGAAGCAAGAAGTTTACCACTTCTTATGGGCCAGAGATTCAACCCCTGCTCACATTTTTGTCTTTTTCCTATATTTGTAGTTGATATAAAGTAGGGCTTGGACTTTGAAGTGCCTCAGTCCCACTCACCTGACTGCAGTCACCCTGTGCGAGCGATGTAGTGGGGTCGGGCCATCTCTAATCCTTTCTACAAGGTGCTAATTGAGCTCTCTAGCGGTACAGCATAGTGGGGCAGAGTTGTTTTCCAAAGAAAAGAGTATTTAAATAGATACCTCATTATATGGGAGAGTTTAATAGTTTGCAAAGTCTCTGCTCCATTAAGATCGTATCTTACAGCTAGGCTGGCATATCTGCATGAATGTCAGTTTATACTATCTCAATCTAAATATACGCTCATTTAATTTCACTTAATTAAAACCCAATAAAAGCTAGACAGATGTAATATAGTTAAAATAGCTACAGCACGGTGTGAGCCCAATATTGCACAATATAGAGTGTCCGACCTTCGATGAGTGCATAATATATTATTATTCAGATGTACTAAATATAGGTCATAAAGGTCAAAGCAGCTTCGGAGTCTGACTTAGAGAGGGAGTTGAGGGATTATTTCATTTCTTCAGGCTCCAAGTGTGGAATAAATAGCTAGAGGTAAAGAAGCAGCATGCTTGGGAAAGGTGCTCTCTTCTGACACTCACAGTTATGTGGGCTGGCAGTGCTCTGTGGGCTTCAGGCAGGTCTTTGAACTTGCATGCAGTCAGATCATGTGCCCAAGGGGGCCTGAACATCAGTTTCTAGAGATCTGTTCATCTTCTGTCAAGGCACTAGAGAGTTTGTGGTTTAAGACAACCAATCTTATGCTCTTTGAACCCCAGGGGACCAGTGTCTTTGTCAGGAGCAAATACACAGTTTATAACTCTGCCCTGTATCCTACCATCCTTCATTTACTAATTATATCTGTGTGTGTGTATGTGTGTTTTTCACATTAGTCAGCATAAGTCTTAACAGAGGGCTTTTTTTCCCCTTTCTCCCCAACATAGCTTTTTCCTCCTGAGTAATGCTTAATTATTTTTTTAAGTCCAGCTCTTGGGTAGTTTTGCCAGTACGTGTTAGGCTAATTGCTCCAGAGATGAGAACACAAATAAATACAGGTTTTCATCTCCATTATCACAGATCAAGGCAAAAGCAAGATCTCTGACTCATGCTGGTTGTAGCAAAATTCTCCCTTGCTCATCTTGCTAATCCTTCCCACCTCTTGTGGAGAGGCTGCATTTCTACAAATGCAGTGACTCAGGACAGCTCCCTGTTCTGCCCCAGGGTCGTGGCTTCAGTCATTGCCTGTCGGTCATTGACACAGGATCTGAGCCCCCCTGTGGGCTGGGAAACCTCCCCAGCATGCGAACTCATTTAAAACCAGTTTGGCTGAACTGATTTTAAAACTGTCTGGACATTGTAGTATTGCCGGTGATGTACATATGAGTTCTGGCAGCAAGGGTCGGTGCTACACGTCTAACCATGTTTTAAAATTTGTTGATGATGTGACAGAACCTCTCTCAGTATAGATCAATTTGTACTGATGCTTCACAGTTCTTCTGCAAAGATTCTCGGATCACAAGCTCCTGAAGACTTCAAAACAACTCTGATGGTATTCGTACTCTAAAAGCTCTTGAATGCTTCCAATGAGTTTCAGAGTTGGAGAATTGCTCTTCCACCTTGCTCTTCAGAAAGTTATGAACAAAATGTCAAATTAGAATAAATAACTATTCTGAATGTTAACATACAGATATCTTTGCTTTGTAAGGAAACTCCAGAAATTCACAGAGCATTGCCATCTTTCATCTAGTAGAGAACTTGGTCTTATGAAAAGCATAATTTTCTTTTAATCACCATCAATTAACTGAGTTATGGAACCATGCCCTAGACCCTAGTGTGGCTTTCAGGCAATTAACTGCAAGTAAAATATCAGAGAGGGCTCTGCAGGTGACTTCAGTCACTCTCTGGAAAAGTGTAGGTGCCTCTAACAAAGGAGCAGTGGGAGCAGGCTCACCAGATCATCTTGCTGCATTTATGCACTCAGAGTTGTCAACAACTGTTTCCATTTCAGTCTTGATCCTATAGGTAGAAGCACTACTTATTTGGAAACAAAACAAATGCCCAGTATACACAGACAAAACCAAAAAGAGGTCATGCCTATCCCAGTGAAATGGCAGTGACAGCTGTATCCTGCTTCACTGGTAACACCAGCAGTCAGTACCCAGCAGAAGACATTCAGCTCCTGACAGGAAACAGCTTTGAGTCCAGACATCAGATGGGCATCGACCTCGGACAAGATGTGTGAGGACAGCCCAAAAGAATGGGGATTAGGGAGTGTTATCCAAAAGGATCAGGAAACCCAAACAAGGATGGGCGCTCTCTCAGAGAGAACTGGCTGGACAAGGGTTGAAGCAATATCGTGACCAACCAATTGACAGCTGGAGTTTTATATCCTGGAAGAACCTACACTGCACAACCTGGTCTTGCTTTGTGAGGCACACACAGCAGTGATGGCATCCACACAGACTCCCAGTTGCAACTGGTGCCAAACAACCAGTCTCTTTTGTAATACTTTTACTTCTGAAAATAGTTTCCCCTACAAGTGCTGAAAGCACTGTCGGAGTTCTCTAGGATTCGTTCTTGCACTTCAGTACTGCCCAGTTGCGCCCTACAAGATAGCCTTGGTTTCTGTTTGATGTTGCTTTGGAGTAATTTTTTTGGTGGTTTAGGTTCCTCCAAGAAAGTGGATAAGTGTTGATAAGTCTGGGGTGAGTTTGTGTCAGGAGAGTGAAGTCCCTTCTCCAACAGAGCCTCTCCTCCACACTGGGAAATACTGATGCAAATAATCCCATGGGGTTTTCCAGTGTATCATCCTATGTTTTGCCTTGCCTTGGACGCCTGGCTGCATGCTCCCAGTACACAGAGGATGTCAGGGTCGGCATTCGTTCCTGACCAAAGTGAATGTGCGGGGTGTTATTCAGTGTCTGTTATCACGAAGGGGAAATAATCACTCCTTCCTTAATGAGCATTTCAAACCTTTCAAGCCATACATGGAATTGAGTTTAAAGTTTGATCTTGGGATGCCCTTTGCATAAAGCAGCCTGGTGATCAAAGGACACATGTTGGCCTCAGTAACCATTCAAGTGATGGCACCTCCGTTACTTGATGGACTCTTATGTTGGCACTCTGGGGCTATGTGCTGTGGTTTGGTCTCTTTGAGGGACACCCTGAAAGGACAACAGCCAGAGATGTGTTTTCATATGATATGAAGGATGGATGCAAACTTGTATTTCTTCTGGATGAGGAACTTTGGGGTCCAACAGAAAAGCCTTGTGTACTCTCCATAACGGTGTCCTCTGAGTGAAGAGTGAATGTCTTAACTTTGCAAAGGTGAGAGAGCCCCAGAACAAACACTGTGCTAAATACAGCAAGCCTCTATGTTGCTCCCACAAGGGCTGGCTTACATTTGGAGGCCAGGAGGATTGGGATTTAATGCAGGAAAAAATCAGCTGGTCACACGTTTTAGGGAATCTGCTTCAAGTATGTAGTTGCTCCTAGAGCTCTGTGTAGACAGTTGCGTATTAGAGAAAGGGTTTAGCCTCTGCAGGGAGCAGATTTAAAGATTTGCTGGAAATCTTTTCAGTTCTAGGGCAAAACAACAAACTCTATTTCAGCCAGATGAGAGAGAAGGAAGTCCTGGGTTTTGCCCCTTGGGCTTGTGCTCAAAGTCATTGCACCGTTCCCGTGGGAAGTGACACACTGTGGTGATGCTTTTCTTAACTCTGAGAAGTGTGGAAGGGGACGGGGGTGGGGTGGGTGAGGGGGCAGGGCCTAGACCAAACAGAACAAAAATGTCACTTGGCAAACTTTCCAAACAGGCAAAGAGAAATAACCCTGTTTTCCATGGCTGTGCTATTCCATGCGAGTACCTCTGGGTAGAACTGTTCTGTCAAGGGTAGCGGTAGATAAATAAGCAGCAGATTTATTATTGCAAGGAGAGAGATTACCCACAACTTCAGTGACTGCAAGATCTTTACTGATGCTTCAGTCATCTGTGGATAGAAAATGTCAGAAAATATAACCAGACATAAAGTTAAAATGGGGTAATGTCATCTTGGCAGAGGAAAATGCTAAAATGAGTAGTTTGAATTGCTGCTTCTGCTTAGAGAAAGGACTCTGCCTAAAGGAAGGGTAGTTAGGAAGGAAAAAGAATAAGTATAAATATTGTAATTACTGTTTAAGAGGCAAGTTAAACATGCTTAAAATATGCCTTCTTTGTATTTACAGAAATTCTTTTCTGTCTTTCTTTCCCATTGGGTGATCATTGTTGTGGATAATGGAATGAGCTGTAGTTCTGAGATACACGACACTCTTGTATGCATACTGGTATTTATTAATCAATACACTGAACATGATTTGACACACTGTGTCCTGTTTAACCCTGTTTTTCTGTCTGTTTAAACTCCTCAGTTTTCTTTGGTAAGTGCTTGGTATTCAGATCCTACAAATCTGCATAAAACCAACACATACCATGACCTGCCTACAGATTCGATCTGCATGAATCCCTCCCTTATACTAACAGCCTTCATATGTGCAAAATAAGACCAAGGGGACAAAAGTGGGGATTAGAAGGGTGCCCTGCCAATTTGCCCAGCTGGAGCATCTCCCCTTCATTTACGCTTCATTACTGATTGTGCTCTGAACTCAAGAAAGACACTGACCAGTGGATCCTCCACTTGCTAGACATATTGACCTCATAAACCAAACCTTTATAGATCATTGCAACAGGATAACTTAACCTCACTCCCAGAGAAGCCCTCCTTGTAAGATACTCTTCATTATAGCATGTAAAATTATCTCCAGTGCCTTATAAAGAGGGTAGAGATTCCTTTCTCCAGCTAATATCCAAATTAGGCAGGAACGACAGAGGTCTGGCTTAGCATGCCATTGTTACATTACCAGAAACTACTTCATTTTGAAATATTTCTGTATATAGAGTTAATTCTGCATGACACCAGTTTCTTTGCCAGAGGGAACCTGATGCAAGAGTTACGCAAATGCGGAGAATGGCTAAAAACTGATTTGTTACACTCTCCCCTTAGTTTAATTTCTTTAAGTGAGCGGATTTTGTCCCACTGGTCATTCTAACCTCAAAGCAAAATTGCACCTGGTGCCCACAGCCATGCGCTTTCTACCCCTCCTGCCCGGCACCCTCACGGTCGCACAGCCCTCAGGACACCCTCTCCTTGTTCTGTATGAGGAATGAAGGGGCACTGCACCATCTCCCCAACGTGTCCTCCATCACCTGCTTGAACAGTGGTGTGGGTGAATGCAAGGGGTGAGGCCAGCCAGCAGCACCACCTCGGCAGCTTAGTTCAGCCCCCATTCATGAGGGTGGTGGCTTTAATGGCAAGATGCAGGGCTGGATGCTGCACTCCTGGAAGTGATGAGCTTTACTAACCTCCTGAGAGTGTCACTTTGACTTTTATTGCACATCAGTTTCTTTTTGTTTATTTCTGTCGCGCTAATACAAATTCTAGCTTTAAAAAAACTTTCTGCTTTTTAGTTATAATTTTCTTCCTTTCCTCTTTGTACTAATGCTTCTCTCTAATCTTATTTGCATTCAAATTACCTCACCAGGTGGTACACCGATCAGAGGTAAGAATGCTGAAATGTGCCTCCAGTTGTCACATCACTCCATCTCCTGTCTGCCTTGTCCCTTCTCCTCCGGTGTTTCTCATCTCCAGCTTTTACTCTCAGCCCTAACTCTGCCAGCGCTCTTGCTCATCTGCACTCTCCCACTAGTGTGTTTATTTTGGTTGGGTTATAGCCTGTTTTCTTGTAGACTCATCCATTGCGATTTTGCACTTTTGAAAGGGGGTTATTCAACGGAAAGTTTGCAAACTGGAAAATGGTCCTTGGTCTCTGCCACGGGAGGGTTGACGTCTCCTGCAGCTCCTGCAAGTCTCTGGACTTCCCGCGCAGTTGTGGCCCCTGAGGTTTTGTGTCTAGGGGGTTTTAGATGGATTGCTTTGGTGTAAGTGTAAGGAGGTAACATTTTCACAAGAGAACAGTCTAATTCTTCTCTGCTGCTGCTGATGGGCATGAAACTGCAATCAGAGGAGGTAAATTCTCAAAAGTTTGAGAAAATCCGGATCTGGCATAAGGAGCACTTTTGTTTGTGTTCCTCATGTGTGCCTTTCAAGTGTGCTAACCCTCCGATGTGGCAGCAGAGTGGAGAACCGCTGCCCCAGACCCCCCTTTCTGAGCCAGACATGCCGATGTTGCTTTGCAGCACAGAGGTGTGTTTTAAATAGATGAATCAGAAGCACATCTGGCTGCTTTAAGCCTTCGTTAATTAAACCCACCCCTGATTTGACAGCCCAGTGTGCGCGGTCCTTGGCTAGTTTTCACAGCCTATATGCACAAGTAATGACTTTCCAATTGAGTGTTGTCTCTTCCAGCCTAGACACTGAAAGCTGTCTCTTTAGATTAACTTTAGTGTGTTAATTAGTGTTACATGCTAAGGCCCTTTTGAATTCTCTTGTGATTTTGGTTACCCCTGTTGACTGACCCCTGGATTTCTCGACAGAATGACTACCACCTACAAATCAACACAACCCCATTTGTTCAGTTTTCCTCTTCTCCCCTCTCCTCCTCCTTTTCCCTGAATCACTGCTGGAAGTTAATAATCTGACTCTCTGGAACTGGTTCTGTTGCTGGGGGTTAATGTTTTCAGCTCCTGTTAAGTGATTTTAGAGTAAATGTGAATTGCCGTCTGATGCACATTTGCATTAAGTTGCCTCTGTAGCAAATCTGGGTCAGGGAAAAAGACTGCAAACCTTTTTTGATATGAATGGGCTTATATATCTGTCATTCCTCCCTTTGGAACGCTGGAGATTGACAGCTGTGATGTTACAAGCTCCTTAAACTATTTCTTCATCTCCTATTTCTACTGCAAATCCTAAAATGAAATGACACATTGAATGCTAACTAGCGGAGCGCTCTGAGCTCCCAACCGTACACACCGAGTACGCAGCCATCCCGGGGCCTCCCCGCACACTCGCTGCACGCCCGCCCTGTCTGATGACATTAGTGACTCAGCACCAGAACCGTGTGGATGCTCCATACGTCCTGCTTGGGATCCGAACGCATCTCTGTGAAAAGAACCATCCATCTCATAAAACATAAGTTCCCCGCACCCCCACCCCCCCTTCCCACCCCCGTTTGAGTCCTGGTGAGGTATTTTAAGAATGTTCTTGACATTATTTAAAATATATGTGTCCTGTTTGAATGTCAAAGATGACATTTCTGTGAGAGCAAACAGAAGCCACGTGCTGCTCTCTGGCTTCTCCCAGAGGATTTCTGTCAGTCTAATGCCTTTTATTTAAAACGGAGGTCATTGAATTTCTAAAGATAACAACAGATTAGATGAAAGTGCTTTTGTGATGGTGAGGTTGTGTCCATGTAGAAGTGACTGTTCTGCCGTGTTCTATACCCAGCTGCACTCTTGTTCCTCATTAAGGTAAGTTTGATGCTTTGGAATCCATTAATTTGGTCTGAAAGGAAGGGTGAACTAATGACTCTTAATGAACCCTTTTGGTAATAATGTTTTGGGGGGAAGGGGTGGTTTTGGTTTGATTTAATTGCTGCTGTGACTGTGTCGCTAGGAGTTGTGTGTCTGGAGTACTTGGGAGGTTCAAGCCTTATCCAAGGCATTTGTGCTGGAGCAGTGGAGAACCCACCCGCAGGGAGCAGCGTGTGGTTAACAAGAGGACAACTTGAGAAATTCTACCATGCACCCCTCCAAATAGGAGGAGATTTTTCTCTCTGAACACCTCGTTTGACCTTACACCCACATAATTGGTCCTTTCTGTCCAAGAAATCTCTGGCTTCCCTGAAATGGGAGGAGCTCCCATCTATAATTCAGAATCTCAGTTTGTAACTTCACTCTTAACTGCTCTGGGACTGCCCCAGGTTGTAATTTAATCTTGAAATCCCTGTTGGTTCATCAGAAAGACATGGAGCTGGCAGATGCCCATCAGGTTAGGCAATAGTTGTCTTCTTAAGGTGACCCACAGATAGTATCAGCAAGTCCATGTTTAAGCAAGTCCTGCCCCATTCTTAATTTCAAAGTAGAATATAAAATGTTCATTTCCAGCATTTCTCAGGAATTGAACTCACTCAACCTTTTGTGAAACCTGGCTGCATTTTCCTGCTCCGGGCTGTAAGAGAGAGCAGAGCACGCTTGTGTTTCTGGTGGGTGCTGGAGTGAACAGGCATTAGATCAGATGCGCATGAGGAGGTAAAGAAATGTCGTCATCTCAGGCATTATCCTTCTCCAGTGAGATTTATTTGTTACTTTTCTGTCACCACAGGAAATATCTGACGTTCCTATACATAAGAGTATTTCTTCCCTGCAGATGTCAGCATAGCAGAGGTCTGTCTGAATTAACTTTAGATCAGCTCACTTGGGTGTCAGAAGCTGTCTGTCTGGGAAGCCAGGTGAACACCCGCACCGACTCCTGTGTAGCTGCAGCTAAACCTTTCCCAGTCCTGAGAGAACTAGTTTAAATATAGCTCCAGTATTTCAATGCTATCCTGTGAGCTGGAGTCTAATGCTATCCAAACTGATTAGAGGAAGCTAAAAGAATTTTGCTGTCTCTTTTGAGTATGTTGTTGTACATTTGATTGCATTTTGTATATGATAGGATTTTCTTCCTGTTTCTTGAGCTTTCCAGTCACCAAAAAAAAAATTTTAAAAAAAATAATAAAAAAAAACAATTTAAAAATGAGAAGATATGCTTGCAGGAGCAGACAGTAGACAGTGTTGGGGAGGTTCACAGGGGTGGTGCCTGGACATGTTTGTAATGCCATGTTTCTTACTGTCGGGATTCAGATTGATTCATGTCCCCTTAGAAACACACAGAGACATTACTGTGCATTTGACAGTGCTGTAGTTTTGCTTCTGATGCAGAGTCCCCTGAGATTTCCTTTACCTGCCAGTGAAAGATCAGAGCATCCTGAAACTCCGCTGTCTAAGAGGAGACCTCTTCCTGCCGAGCACATTGGGTCTCCTCTCCTCCCTCTGTGCCCAAGTCTGGCTCGGTGGCAGTGGTCGAGTGCCATCAGCAGCTGCCTCTGGTGCACAGGAGAGTGATTTCTCAGCAGTGCTGCCATCCAGAACAGGCCCCTCGCATGCCAATCACCGGCCTCTCAGGCATAATGACCATAATGAACACTAACAATGAAAATATATTTGTAGTTATCTTGTTTTGCATAATTGGCAGTGCTGATGGCTGGTGGAGGCTAGGTGCAGTCCTCTGTAACAGCTGGGAGATGCTGCTGTTATAAATGACAAAAAACAGTGAATATAGGAAATGCTTATTTTCATTATTAGTGACTCTTGCGTGGTTTTGATGTCTTTCAGTTTTTCACAGCTCCCACGACAAGCATTTGTCATCTCAGGCAGCAGCCAGACCGTCAAAAGTCCAACTCCCTCAATGTCAGGGCTTCACAGCCTCTCTTTTTCAACCAGATTCACATTTATGGGTCCATGTTTGGTCTGGGCTTGCCCCTGGCCCTCCTCCACAGCTCACCAGGTTCTATTAGGAGGATTTGTCTCCTCTTGGAGGGAATTTTTAGCAGAAGGGGGATTGGGACCCACAGCTGAGCACTGTCTGAAGGGGTGACTAAGAACACTGCTTCAGGAGCAGTCAGGCGGTGTTTCTGTGGAGGAAGTTTGTGGGAGTCAGGAGGAAGGAGAAGGAAAGGATTTGTGGAGGCCACATGCTCTAGTGTGCAGGGTGGTCAAAATGTACCTGTTCCCTGAGAGGAAGGACCCTGGTCACGTAGTTGGTTCATTAACATCTGCGTTGCAAGTCCTTTCCTTAGAGGAGTGCTGTGACCACAGCCTGGTTCCCTGCCCCCTGGGTACTTAGGGGAGCATTTCACTCCGTGTCTAATTTTATAACCAGGACAAAAGGTCAGTCCCCACCTCTGAGCCAGAGGGACTGAGCCTGTGAATGCCCTGCCAGAGAAGTGGAGCTGCTACCACTGCTGGGAGTGGAGCTCTGACCTGAACAGACGAGGAAGAATGTTCAGCTGCGTGCGGTGCTCTCTGGGAGGAGAGCACAAGCACCCGATTAGCTACAGAGCAGGATTTCAGAGAGATCAACTTCTATGGCAGCTTGGAGCTTTTTACGTTTGGTTTGTCACCTAGGGAAGAGAGTGACAAGGCCTCCGTGGCACAACAGTCCCCAGCGCTACCAAGAAGCAGCCGTTATCAGGATCTGCCTTCCCGTGCTCTCTCTGTGCAGTGCACTTCTTAAATGCTTCTTCTAACCACTGTCACGGCAACTAATGATTCTGCCCGAGCACAAGTATATTTGAATAGATAAGTATCTTGGAGAGCTGCTAACGGGGATGCTGTCTGTGCCCGAGTTTAAAGAGCAAAAGAAAAAGCTAGGAGAGGAGGGAAGTGACTGGCAAGAACATAGCAGCACAGAGTAAAAAATCTGTAAGGGATGCTTGTCAGTCAGCAGGGCCAGCTCCTGCTCTCAGCCCCAGAAATCTCTGCCTTGTCACCATTCTCCCTGGCACTGGAGAGCAGCCAGGAGTTTTTCTCAGGAGCTGTCAGCTGTCTGATAAGCTGAGATGTGTTATCAGGAACAGATCTGAGCCGCAAGCGAGATCAACACGACATCGACATCGCAGTGTGCTGAGGAACGGCTGCCCCTCTTCCGCTGGAGGTCGAGTGGTGCTCAGCAGGGAGAGGTTTCGCTCTGATGTGCACGTACTGCTGCAGAGCCCCACGAGCTCCCAAACAAGCTGTTCACTGCTCCTCTCTGTACATATATGCACGTCCTGATGGTAGATGGTTCTCGTGCATCCACTGAAGCTGTGCCATCTGATTGCACATCAGGACTCAGCCATGCAAACGAGAATAAGGCACCTGGCACAGGAACACTCGAGGACTCCGTGTGAGAAGTCTGCAGTAACATCCTGTGTGAGCAAGACCTTACTCAGCAACTTGTGCAACATAAATCCCAAAGCAATGAATAAAAGTAAATCAGCCTTCCTAGCCCTGGTTAGCAGAGCCACAGATGATTATAAGATGAGATGCTGACAGGGCTAGGAATAGAAATCGAGTCCTTTGCACTTGTCAAAGTGAAGAATTCACTGCACTTTTGAGGGTCTTTGGATGCAGCTTCCATGAACCTCAGGGAAGGGAGCTACTCAGGACTCAGTTCTTCCTTTCCTGTAGCTCCTTGCATCCTTTCCAGGGGAGACTTGAACCCTTCAAGAGTGAATCTATTGCCTTTCACTGGGATGACTGAACTAGGGCCTGGAATATTTTACACTTATGGAGTTTTTCCCAAGGCTCAGATGCATTTATGTCTCCAGCTTTCTGATTCCAGCAATGTCTGAACTTCCTAACTTTAGTCATAAATCTCTGTACACTGAGAGACCCTACACTTGCCTGTATCCATCGCATAGTTGTAAGTTGTCCTTCAAGAAGACCCCTGTAGTCCCGCTGACTGCCATCAATTTACCGTGATCCTTTGCTTTCTGCTAGCTGTCAGCTGTGGTGTGGGATCTGTATGTTTGTCTAATGATGATTTATTGCAGTAACCGATTTCTTTCTGGTTCAGTTGAGAGGTTTACGTTAACTTCCTTCTGCTTCCTGGATTCTCGCTTCTTCCTGACATGCCATAGTTTGAATAGTCATCCCAACCCAGACAAAACCAGAATCCCTTCCCTGGGCAGTTTGCAGGCAGTTGCTGACACATGTTACATGTTTATAGTGTGATTGTAGAAATCAGTCTGCGCTGGCTGCAGAAGTGACGAGCAATAATAGCATGTAATCTGAAACTCCCTTCAGACTTCATTTTCTTCATCCTCATACGTTTTCCTCTTCTCTCTCCAGCACTGATGTTGAGGTCCCTAGAGCTAAAAAACAGTTTGACTAACCGACATTTAAGAGGCATGGTGATTGCAGGTATAAAGGGTATAAATACCAGTGATATGTATTAAATGGCTAGAAGGGGCATATAAAAAGGTATGTGTTCGTGGCAGAATTACCTAGGGATCTTACTTTTTTCTAAGGCAGTCGCCACTGCCTATCACCTGAAGCTGGCTCTGCTTTCAGCCCAGCCAGCTGATGAGGGCTACAGGCTAAATCAGAGACAGGCTTTTCCTTAGGGTGATGACATCCACTCTTTTTTGGGTTGTGGTTTGTTTGGTTTTTTTTTAAGTTTGGGTATGTTTTGCGGCAAACAGCTTTTCCCAGCCAAGCCTCATGCGAGCACTTAGAATGAACTCTGCAGCACATGAGTAACAAGCAGAAGTTAAGAAGGGGATAATATATGGTGAGTTCTAGGAAAATCTTCCTGACAGAGAGCATAACCAGGCTGTGGCATCAATTCTGTGAGGAAGCGGTGAAAGACCTATCACTCGGCACATTTAAAATGGGGTTGGACAGAACACAAGTACACTTATAACAGGGAGCAATCCTGCCCTGGCCCCCAGGGATGCACAAGATAACCTAATAGGTCTTTTCCATTTCTGGATTCTCTGATTCTCTGTGTCTTGTCAATGCTGGGAAGCTTCCTCCTGCTCCACTGCCTGTCATGCTGCTGTCTGCTTGAAGATGTTTTTCTCAGACAGCATGTAGAAATTCAGTGTTCTCCCTGAATGAAGCGGCAGTGCTCTGTAGGCTTTGGCCCGTGGGTGTCCGGAGAGTGCTGTGGCTAGGGAAAGCTGGCAGCTCCTTTTGTTAGTAGGTGGAAAGACTTCTGCAAACAAGCTTTATCTGTCTAGCTGAAGCCTCATTTCCAGCACTAATGCAACAATAGGGAGGGCTCTGTACATCATTTTTATTATATGGCAGAACCCAGGGAAGTTCATTTTTCCCCATGACATATAGACTTATGCTACAGTCTCAATTTATCCTTCTAAATAATGTAGGTGGCAGTGGTTGATTCACATTAGTTTTTCTTCTGTTCTGATGATATGAAAAACTGAGTTTGACCTCTGTGGCTTGAACCAGCAAGAAGTGAGAAAGCAATTTCACCAGCTATTCTCAGTGCCACTCTCAGTGGTCATTTTGAACCGTGGCAGGCAGAAATGAGTTCAAATCCTTACAAGCAAAGGGGTTAATGTTTTCTTTTAGTTCAGCATATGGTTTGTGAGCAGAGTTCCCTTCTTACAGGCAATCCTAACCAGCAGAATCTGAGCACTTGAAGGCACTTTAAAAATTATTCCCACATTGCCTGGGGGAAGCAGAGTGAGCACCAGCCGCTTCAGTGTCTGGCCAAGGGTGTTTGCTCCCGCAGTGCCAGCTTGCTGTCACCTGCATCCTACTTCTTTCCTTCTCTGTGTCTCCATCTTTTAGTCTGCATATGGGGCCCAGTTAGGGGAGTTTAAAGGCAGTTTTGCAGTTACCTGCACTAGGCAAGAAGCTGGATGAAGGACCAGGCTGCCAGGCCCAGGGGTGCTGGACACCAGTGGAATAGGCTGAGCAGATGAGAGAAAACCCCTTAGACTGCTGCTTGCTTCTACGTCACAGGCACTCCACAGGTTCCCCATGTAAATTACTTCTCTGTGTGCTCTGGCAATTATTGCATTTATTTAGATGTGCCCCTCATGCATCTGGCACTTTGGGGATGGGATCAGATCATGTCCGAAGGAAGATGCAGTCTGGGCTGAGCAGCTATTCCTGCCGCAGAGCTGGAGGAGCGGGCGCTGCTGAGACAAAGGGAGGGCGGCTCTCACATGAGTGTTGAGTGGCAAAATGGGCATATTGCTGTGGTGTATGTCTTTGATGTCTCACACTGAGTTTCTAATCTTTTTGTATCATGTATAATGAAATCTGAAAGGACAAGGAGATCACTGATGTGGAGAAGGCTGACGAAAGGCGAGGTGTTTTCTCGGAAGGGGATGTCTGTTGGAAGGAGGGGCGGTGAGGTGGGAGAGATGGGAGTCTGCCAGTTTCTGCAGGAAGGTCGCAATTTGTTGAGCATTTGTTAGGCTTTGTGTGCATCAGATAAGAAACAAACAGCTACAGTTAGTGCTTTGTGCTTGGCTGTTTTGATTAAAGGCTTATTAAAGGTCCTTTTATTAGACAGAGGTCCCATACAAAGCTGTAATTAATGTGTGTGTACGTGTATGTTTTTTTCCTTTATTGAAGCAATGAATATAAGTGGTTGGGGCGGTTGGAAATACATCAGTAACTGATTCCCTGTACATTAAAAAAACATAGCAATCACCAATTTCATGAGCTTCTAACAGCAGACTGGGTACCTTTTGGCTGCATGCTGGTACCTGGTGGGACCAGGGAACATCGCGATGTATTGATCCAGGAAGATACTTTAAAAGCGTGGGGCATGGCCTTCCTTTTCTGAGGCTGGCTGTTTGATTACTAAATTTGCCATAACCTGAATTGTCTGTGTCATCTTGTTTGTATACAGGAGCTCTGCAGATAGAGAACAGTGAGGAGTCAGACCAAGGCAAATACGAATGTGTTGCAACCAACAGCGCAGGAACCCGCTACTCTGCCCCAGCAAACCTTTACGTTCGAGGTAAGAGCAGCTTCCACCCATGGGGGTCACCCTCCTCCTGCCCAAAAGGCTCCATGGCTTTCAGTGAAGGAGTGTGTTCCCTCTCTTAGTGCCCTGATCACACTTTGTGGTTTATGTGATGTGGCCTTCTTCTAAAAAAAAAAAAGGCAACATCTTGATCCACATTGGTTTTGACTCATTTCTGGAAATCTGTTTTTGCTATTTATATGGTCTTACATAAAATGCTGAGATATGGGCAGAACTGGAATTCCTGTCTCCCTTGAACTTCTTAACTTTGTGTCATAGTTATTCTAATTGGGTGCTTAATCCTCTTAGTATAAACTAACCTTTGGTGGAGCAGTATAAAACCGGTCATACTCTGGTGAGCGAGAGGTGCTCAGCTATAGGTGAGCTGATATTTAGGCCTCTGCCTTGGAATGTATATCTTTAAAAACTGAAGAGCTTTTAGGAGTTGCTCTAATCCATTTTACATGCATCAGTGATTGAGCCTCTGGGTATTAATGGCTCACACTGGGAACCTGCTGGAAATGAGCCACAATTCATGTAAAGTGATTTTTCTAATGGTTATGCTATGTTGATGATTTAAAACTGTTTTCAATATACCAGAATAACTGGGTTTTACATCAGGACAGTCTCCTGCCAGTTTTCTTTCTCTACGTTAAAGGTGTTTGAGTTAGCTTGGAAAGAAGCAAGGACTAGATTCCCTATACACATTCTGTTAACTTGAGCAAGAAAAAAAATGTGCCGATTCATATGAAGCTCTGTATAACCAGAGACACTGGTCAGGAACCCCTGGGAAATGTAGTTACGGAATTTCCCAAGAAGAGAAGGAAGATTCTTGTGCTGGTGCAACCCATTGTTTGTTAGGAAGTAAAACCAAATTTTATTTCCACATAGTAAATCAACTGTAATAATAAAATCTCATCTTCATTTTTTCCTTCCTCTGTTTTGAAGAAAGAAAATACAATCTTAAAGCTGTCTATGCATTGGTTAGTATGGAACGAGGACACAAGAATGCTTAAGTCTTCACATGCTGTGTGTTTGCTTCTAGGAGTGGCTTCTAGCATTGTTGTCTTTGCTTATTCTCGGGAGCACTTTTTTATTTTGCAGCATAATTTGGATTATAAGAGTCTTTGGAAGACTGAAGTATCCAATTAAGCATATTCAAGAAGATGAAGCTATATCTATGCGGTGGAATCACTCATTTCACTCTCACAATGTAATTATGGATGATTTTAAACTCCCTATATTCTTGCAAGTTCATTTTTCAGGCAAGCTGTATTAAAACTCATCACAGATTGTCACTTTGCACTCTGAGGGAAAGGATCCTAGTTAACAGGTTGGCTGCTGTTGCATAGGTTTGTGTGGCTATCCAGACGTTTTGCTGCGGTATTTGGGATGCTTTTGCTTCCTGTGACATGCTCAGACTCGCAGTGTTTTGTTTTCTGTAGAGGTGTGGCTGAAAAAAAAGCACAAGAGCTTCAAGAGGTAGAAAAACCTCCTCATAACTTTCTGATTTCTTACTAATGAATATTCTTTATTTAGCAAGTGAATCCTGTAAGACTGAGGAGTGTACTGAATTTTACACTTGTGTGGTGGGTTAGCCCTTGGCTCGGGGCAAAGCCACACACACCCTTGGCATGCTGCTCAGCAAGGTTTGGCTGTCCTGTTTGGGCTAGGCATGGGCCTTGGATGGTCTGCACATGTGAGAGGATCCTGATGTTCACCAAAGAAAATGTGTTCTTTAGACATGTGCTTTGCTATTAACCATCATTTTCTTGCACATGAATTTTTGGAACAAGCCTTTTTATTGCACATAATCTTCACAATGTCAGTCTCCAACCTGTGTGATCCTGATAAAGTCCTGCTGTATATTTAAGACAAGGTACCCCATAAATTATTATCAGATTAAATTCACCATGCGTACTAGGTCCTAGATGGTATTTGTGCTTAAAGTTTCCGATAGCAAGTGCTCTACAAAAAAAATAATCATATTGTTACTGTATTAGTTAATGATTTCAAAAAGTTAGTCAAACCAAGACCAGTATTTTATTTCTTTAACAAGCTAGGGAAAAAAATGAATATATATTACTTTATTGGGTCTGGGATGCAGAATAAAAGAATCTCTATTTTTTTCTTCTTGTGATAGTCCTGCAGTGTGGTCATTAGACGGATCAGTGACTTCCAGTAGGGTCTTCAGAAAGTGCCTGCATCTTTACTAGAGAAGACATTAATTAATGCTAAATTGCGGTGGAAATTAAGTGTGTCGGCTGCACTGCCACTGCATGGTGGTTTCATAATGATTGACCTCATTGCGATGAATACCCAAGAAGTTGGCCGCTTCCTCAGAAATCATGGCTGAGCCCTGAGCAGCAGTACTAATTTCCACCCTGTGTAGTTCTCAGCACTGCTTGTGCCTGCTCTCATTTACAGCCTATTGGTTTTTTGTTAGTTCAAATGTTTGTTTGTCTCTTGACTCTTGGGGTTTATGTTTTTGATCATGTTCTCCCCTTTCCTAGCCTCCCAGGTAATCTTTTGTGAGTGTGCTGTCATAGAAAGCACAGGCTCATTAGCATCTTTATCATACTTTTCATGCTAACAAAGGAAGATACTGGGTGCTCAGAAGGAGTATCCAGGCACTGCTCAGGGCTTCCTATATCAATGAAAGAACAGGAGGAGGAAGGAGCAGGCTACGCTGGTGTCTTGTCTCTGTGAATCCTTCAGAGCCAGCACTTCTGCACAGATGGACTTCATTAAAAGTTAAAACATTTCCACACCAGGGATTTGTAAAGGAAAATGGATGCATTTTCCTTGAAGCTATTATTTTCATCTTACTAAGTGTGCTGAAAAGCAATCCTCATAAGCCACCTTCTTCTGGAGTGACAGGTCTATCTGTCTGCCTCTGCAGAGCTGGGATGGGGCTGGGGACCAGCACAGGGAGCTGACTGCCTCCCACTGCTGCTCCCAGCCCTCCGTGCAGGGAAGGTTGTAGAAAACATCCAGATCATCGAAGGAGCAAGAACAGAATGAAAGCAAGAGCGGGGAGCATAGCAGGGCAAGGTGGCTGCCTGGGGTATAACAGGGACTTCAAAGGGGGCGCAGTGGCATATTCCTGTCCTGCCCGTTCAGCAGAAGCACGCTTGCCGCTGCTGGTCTGGGTGAAGGAACATTCATCCATTTGTGATCCATGGTTACATGTACCGCAGTACATGGTAACGATGATTAGATCTGGGACCTGATGGTGCTGCAGGGAGAAAGAAAGGGAAGAGCAGTGTATGGAAGATGTGATTCCTCTAATCCAGAGAGCTTACTGTCTAATTTAGCAGCAAAAATCCAAGAAGTTGATTCAAGACACACCAGAAATTAAGAGTAGAAGGCAGATTGGATGTAGTGGGGGGGGGAAGATGGTGTCATTTCATGCTCACTGGGAGTATAGTATAATTGCACTGATTCACCTGCGCTATTGTTTTTTTATGACTACGGTTCACTCTTCATTTGCCTACAGCTTCATAGACATCTTCACAAAGGAGGAGCGTTTTCAGCCAGAAGTCTTGCCCTATGAAATGCCTGTGAAGGTGGTGACCTGTGTGGTGCTCCCCTCAATAGAGGCACTGTTACTTGACTCTTACCCTGTATGAAAAGTTTTTTCTGCCCTTCTTTTTCTCTACACATGGCTTCTTTTTTTCTACTTCAGTGAAGCAGATGAGCAGGAAAACTGTGTATAAGAATATCCTTATTAATACACTGGGGGGTTCACTAGGTGTGTTCCCCATTGCTGCTTACAGCAGTGAGCAATGCAGATGCTATTAGAATAGTATTTACTGGAGCATTGGCTGCATAGTTCCTATCAAATGAGAAATCTGTTGCCCAGTTTTCACTGCTTCAGTGCTGCTTTTCAGGCCTTTAAGGCACGGTCCAGAGGGGCAAGTGGAGTGAGTTCTCTGTCCCAAGATACTACCCGTACTGTAGACAAGCAGCTGCACAGCTGCTGTTAAAGAAAAACCATTTACTACTGAATTGTCTCCTCTGTCCCCAAATCACAAACTAGTAAATCAGACTGCAGTAAATAGAAATGGTATTACTGCAAAAATCTGTGCTTTCTTGATCTGCTTTTTGAAAGGCCAGGCTAGTATTTCATTTGGCAGCAGGGAAACTGGCTTGGAGTCCGAAGTTTTATTTGCCAAGTTTCACTAAGGAGCCATCACCCAAAATGAAATTAGGATTGTGGATCTGTCCCTAGCAGCGATTCTCTGGCTTTGGCAGGGTTTTACACTTGTGAACTTGGCGGTAGCTTAGGCTCAGACACAGAGGGAGCTCACTGAAATGGCTACTTGCGGCGATATGATGCTTACTGCAGTGGGGATCTTGTGTAAATAATAATAATTCTGAATGACTGACATAGGCCTGGAGCCACAAGACTTGAAGCCTTTAAAAAGGATATTTTCTGCTTATGTAATATTAAAGCAGCTAAAATAGCAACAGCAGTCAAAGCTTGAGGGTATCGCCAGGAGAAAAGTAAAAGCTGAGGACAGTGGTCAAACAGTCAGCAACCAAAACTGGGGATGTCTGAAAAATGGCTGAATAACAGGGAATATGTTTGTTTACAGCCCAGCTGTATACACACTTCTGGCAATGTGCTCCATTAAACCTGCCTCTCGTCAGGGCTGGTGGGGATGGTTAATTGACCAGAGGGGCACTGCCGGTGCTGGAGGGCCTGGCAGCCATTGCGGACAAGCAGAGACTGGAGAGACTTGAGAGGGAGATGCCTGGATGACAGGAAACACGAACAAGCAGTTGAATCACACTGGATAATCCAGACTGCTGCTTCGGACAGACGTCTGCCTTGGACCATCAGAAGAAGCAAAACCAGGCTGCGACAGAGGCCACGGACTAACTGCCTCTCAGCAGCTGGCACATGGCTGAGGAGGGCTATGGGTCTGAAGGGCTGCGATCTCCCCGTCTACACTCTGTGCAGTCCTGACCTCCAGATAGTGCTGCCGTACAGCAACACGACAGAGAGCAATGACCCTTTGATGAAGAAAGTGCACTCCTCTTTATGGGATTTCAGTATTTTTAACTTCATTTCCTCTGCCCTCAGGTGATGCTCCATGCTGAAGCTACTGCCGTAGCTAAGGTCAGAGCAGCTATAGCTTGGGCAGATACATCTTGGCTAGTTGTGAGCAGGCTCAGAGTGAGCGCAGCCAAGCGGCACAGCCAGAGCTGTGCAGCACTCGGCACCAGCAGACATTTGCTGCTCAGTCGGCGCTGTGGCTCTGCTACTGCAACTGTCTGTGTCCTCAGAACCGGCTGGCTTCAGATCCAGAGAGGCTTCTGCCAAGTTTTCTCTTCCTCATATGAGTATTTTTTTCATGTTTTCTCCTGAGACAAAGTGTGTTCACCATTAGTGTGTCTATGAGCATTTTGCTATGCCATAATGATTATAATGATCACAATTTAATAAATAATTGTTCTTTGTCCTTCTGCTAGCACATTTCATCTAAAGATTTTAATGCATTTTATAGAACTCAACTAAATAAGCTTAACGGTTTTATTCCTTGCAAAGTCCTTGGACGGTTAAAAGTGCAATGTGAGGCTTAAGTCTGATTATTTGTAAAATGGCCTTTATGGAAAATGGAGAGTGGCTGGTGGCTCAGTGTGTGATAATGCAACACAGAAATGGACTTGGAAACCTATTCTCCCCTCTTCCCCACATGACCTGCAGAGACATCTGTGGAACAATTATTCCTGCGTATCTGTGCCGATTAAATGCCCGTTCCCTCCCCTTCCGTATCCACTTGCACAAACGGTTAGGAAATCCATCTCTGGTGCTCTGAGATTTTCTGCTCTTAATTGAATTCATGCGTGCATGTGTGTACACTATGAATGGGAAAGGATGGTTGGGTGCCCTGAGCATCCTGTCTGTTTCTCTGGGATGGAATATACTCATCACTGTGGCATGAGAATATTGTTCATCACATATAAGGGGAGGTTGTCTTATTCTCATGTAATCTGGCATAAAAAAGGCAATCTGTTCTTTTGTTCCTCTACACCTCTAAAAGCTATAAAGTGTGAAATTTGATTTATGTGGAGTCCTTGGGACACAAGATGTGCTTTTGGAGATAAGCCGGAACAGGTTCATCCCCCCTCTGGGTTTTTGTTAACCTCTGTGTCTTTTGGATTCCAAAGTGTCTGGGTTTGCCTTTATATTGATGCCTTGCATAGCACCAGAGGGTTTTCAGTACAGGACAGATGCTGGCAGTTCCCAGCAGAATTACAGAGCCAATTGGGATAATGAACTTTCATGTTGCTTTCAGGAAAGTATTAGCTTCCCACTCTGAAAAGCTTCAGAAATGTGTTCCTTTGTTTGAGCTAGTGATCTCAACTCTCAGACCTGTGCATTCGTATCCTGGCCACAGCCCCCTGCCTTGTTTCAGGGAGCTAATGCCCAAGAATACACAAAAGCAGAGTCTCCTATAAGCCCAAACTCATTCTTTCTGCAACAAGCTGCTGTGGTTAGAGTTATTACTGCTGCTCTGCTGCATGAGACGAGCATGTCTGTGACAGGGTAAAAGCCAAATTCAGTCAGCGTGGGAATTTTTGCCTACAGAGCGCTGGAGCCACCTGACAGTCAGGACTGGCATAGACATCTCTGATACGGCCTCGCTCTTTGCTTCTTTGCCATTTCAGTTTGGTTCTCAAAATGAGCCCCGTTTTTACCTTCTGGAGTTTGCTATCCTCTGGTGGCATTTCTGCTGTGACTTGACTTGCTTTGTCTTGCACACAGACTGGCGTGTTCACGTTAGCTGCCAGGCAGCTCAGGTTCACGGGAACGCAGCAGCGTGCCTAGTGAGCCCTGGGATTCTGCACAGGGGACACTCGGGGTACCCCCAGCCTTAAATCCTCTGTCTCCACATGGGCGATAGATGTTATTTGCTGTCAGTGCTCAGAGTCGTTTGTTTTGTAAAAAAGCAGAAAACCTGTTGGTGAAATGTGTTTCTTAGTTTAGGAATGACATGGATAGAGAACTGGAGATAAGGAAGAATGTGAATGGGACCTGTAAGGAGATGAAACTTTCAATTTGGAATTTATCAGGTTTATCTCAGATAAAGCAGCAGCTGTTCAAGCATTAAGTAAAGGGAAAGGGGAGAGAACTTTCTGGCCAGGTGTTCCCTCTTGCCTTACAGCTGTTCCAAAATAGCCTGCTACTGTTTTCTATTCCCATTGAGACACTAATATAATAAGAGATTAAGAGATAATCCAGCAATTAGTGACAAATAGCAGGCCCCAAGCTTGTTCCTGTTTGACAGACCAGAAAGTAATCTGTTTGAATTAGCGTTTTTCACATGTGGCTCCTCACCTTTCTGACTCTAAGCTGAAGAGTCAACACATGGGGAAAGCCGCTGCTGGAGCCTGCTCCTGTCCATGTGCACTGACACTGTGTGATCCCTGCCCGGCTCCCCAAAACAGAGCTCCTGGCTGTCCCCAGCTGCACCAGCACCCCTCTCCCTGCCCTGGGGCAGACCAGGCGGTACCGCAGCAAGTCCCCTTGGTGTGTCTGGGGGCTGTCGGCCCTTCCCAAGGGCAGAGAGGCTCTGCAGCTGCTGTGTTTCTGCAGCAGGGACGGGTGTTCCCACAGCTGTTTCAGCATCATCCCCCAGTCCTACACCCTTCACCAGCCTCTTGCCGTTCAGTCACACAGTCCCAGCAGGTGCAGCAGGTTGGTCCACGCTTGCAGCAGTTGGAGTTTGTGTTGCCCTATTGCAGTGTTGGTGCTGCTTTCCTGAAATGCAGCAGTCTGTGGGTACACCTTGTTTGCCAGAAGCACTGTCCTTCCTGGGCAAGGGCAGGAAACAAATCCTCCCTGTTGGGAAGAGCTGAGCAGAAGGCAGAAGCCCTTTGCTGTCTGCTGAGACCATGCAGATGCGATACGCTCCATTAGATTAGGAAATAAAGTGGTGGCTTGGGAGCAGCAATAAACAGTTCCCTCCCATCACAGGGTCTCACAGGATTAAATGAGCCTGACATTAATGTTTTGTGGACCAAGAGGTAAATCCCCTGTCTGAAGCAGCCCAGAGGAAACCTGGACCTTAAGCTAGGACTGTTTGTTTTGAGGATGTCTGGGTGGGGGTCATCGCTGGATGTGGCCCTCGCTTATGGCCCAGTGAAGCTCTGAGTTGGTTGGTTCTAGTCCCTGGTATTTGTTCAATTGAAGAAACGTAAACAACTGTTTTGCTGTTCTTCTGCAAGCTCCATTACACTTTGTAGGCCGCTTTTGTAGCTGTTATTGGCAGTTTGTTGCCTGGTCTGTACCATGTCAGTGTTGGTTAAAATCCTGTCCTCTAATCGCTGGAAATGGCTGACTGTACTGTTGCACTGTATAATGCCACATGCTGTTCTGTAATTTGCAGTGTTTCTGCTGGAAAGCAAATTCCTCCCCTCACCTTCTCCTTCTCCCATCAAAAATGTGACTCATCAGCAGTCTTTAACTATCAAATCCACTTCTGTATTCTCTCAGTGAGGGTTCGATTACAGCTGATACACCACAGATCTGTAGCTGGAGTGAGGTCACTCCTGCTAGAGAAATAAGATCTCCTTTGTCTATAAGGAAAATGCAACTAACCTTCTACTGTCTCTCCCGCAGGAACAAAAACTGGGACCTGCTTATTTCTCTCTGGGTGTTTTTGTCCTTCTGATTTCTTGTCCATCTCTCACTTGCAGCACAGTGCATCAATAAGGCTCTCCTGAACCTGAGCCCAGCTGAGACTGCACATGTCTGTCACTTGCCTAATACCTCTCTGCTGCATTTAGCTTTTTGTTTGGAGAGGGGGAGCAGCTCTTCATGGTAGAAGATTTTCCATACACCACTTGGAACATTACTTTCATACTTGATAAAATTCGGATCTACGCATATGCTCTTACCAGTGTGGTCAATGGGTTTAAAGTGCCTTTGCCATCGTCTTTATAGCTAGAGTGGGTGTTTGGGAGCACGTCAGTCTGTGTGATGGCTGGAGTCCCTTGCTCTGTGCACGTGCGTGAGTGTTTTGCACATGTAAATGTGTCTGTGCTTCCAGCATCTGGCCCAGTGCAGGGCTGCCCTCAAAGCACCCTCTGTGTGAGTATCTGTGGGACATGTGGTCCCCTCTGCCCTGCCTCAACAAGCGGTGAGCGGATCAGGGAGGTGGAGGGGCTGGCCCTGCTCCGGGCCAGAGCGGTGTGAGTGTGGCTCACTGTTGTCCACAACATGGAGTGGTGTGTGTGCACGGTGGGAAGTCACGGCTGACCTCTGTAGTCTTGTCTTGTCGTTTCAGTGGTGTGCGGACAGATGAAGCTTGGCCTGTTTTTACTCTCTGTGTTTTTCCTTGTCTTTTTTTATTCCCTCCTCATCTTCATCGCACTCTGCCATCAAACAAAACAAACTTTCATCTCTCAGATCAGCGAGAAGGTTGGTCCTTTTCACTTCTTATCCATCTACAGTACGCCACGTCAGATGGGACTTTTCCAGTAGGGAGAGGAGAGCCATCCCCAAAAAGGGAGGGGGCCCTACAGAACCTGGCTCCCTTCCAGGCACGGCCACAGTGTGCCTGACGAAATCTGCTTACTGTTTGCTGTGACTCTGGTGATGGCATTGATACTTTGCTTGCATGCCTTTGTTGCTTGAGATTTAAAATGCACTGAATATATTTTGCATGCAAATACCAGCCAGGGCAGTTTTGTTCAAAGGTAGGGTGGGAAGAAGTGCATGCTACTGTATGTGTGGTCCTCCTCTAACCCACTACCTGTGCTAGGTGCTAGTCTAACACCTCTGAAGTGCTGCTGCTTTCTGGCTGGAGATCAAGAGCAGTCTTTGGAAGCGGAGATCAGAATGGTCTCCAGTCCCTTCACAAGCTGCTAGGGAGAGCGAGTTCCTCAATTTCTCCTGTAGCTTTCAAAGTTTTAACTTTCTCTAGAGGCAAAAAGCTTACTTTTGATCTCAGCTGGAGGAGAACCCAGCATGCTGCCCTCCCTTGCCCCAGGGCAGCCAGAGCAGCTGGTTGGGAGATGCAAGGCGCTCGTGCTGCGGCAGCTTCCCTGCTCCTTGGCAGTCCCTGCTCTGGGTGTGGCTGGTTCTCCACACTCGGACAAGAGCCCTTTGCATGAGCAGGTCTGCCTCTCCTTTCTTCCCTGGGCTGAGTCTTCCTCTTGCTGGCAGGAGAGCAGGGAGCTCTGGCAGTGGCCCCAGCCTTACCTAGGCTGGCTCCAGGAGGCCCGTGGCAGTGTGTGCAGGAGCTGGTAGCCGCTCAGCAAAACCTGGTTTGTGTGTTGCCCTGCTCTGTCCCGCTGCCCTCAGAGAACCAGAGGTGAATCAAGGGCAATAGTGAAGGCGACTCCAGCTTTTGAATGAAATCTGGCTCCAGACCTAGCTCGAGGCACTCATGATTCCATGCTGAGGAAAGCTGGTGGCTTTGGCAGAAGTCCTGAGCTAGTTTCCAGCGATGACTCCTTTGCTGAACAGGTACCATGCGGGTCCATCCCTCCACCCACGCTGGAGGAGAGGGATGCTCGCAGCAGCTCTCCAGCCCGGCATTGCTCCCAGGTGGCACGAGGAAGAGAACCTGGGTCTTCTCATACGTGCCATCGGGCAGCTGCATGAGTTGATCTTATAATCATCACTGGAACAAGTTTTAACAAGTTGTCATAGCAGTTGTTCCAGTACACTGACTTCGCTCCCATTTCTCTCTCTGGAACATGGTCTCATTTAGATTGTACTGAGGCACAGGGCCCTTGTTGTTTACCCTCTAAAAATAGATTTCATGGAGGATAAAATTACCTGAGCCCAAGACAATGATGAAAAATGAGAACAAGGAAGAAAAGAGAAGAAATCAAAGCCAAGGCCCAAAGCCTCCTAGATCTCAGTGAATTTGGAGCACCGCTGTGATGGCTCAGACACCTCTGGAGAATAAACCTTTGACAGGGCACTTAAACATTTTAGCCGCATGGTTTAGCTGAGGGGAGGCAGCCGAGAATGGATATAAGCCAGCAGGAA